CAAAAGGCCATGGACACCGAGATGAGTGCTTTGGAAGAGAATGACACCTTTGAGTGTACAACAATACCTCCAGGCAGGAAAACAGAGGATGGGAAGAATGAAATGACAAAGTCAAAGAAATACAGGGAAATAGTGGGTAGCCTCATTTATATCATGACAGCCACTAGACCTGACCTATGTTTTATTGTGACCAAGTTGTCTCAACACGTGTCCATGCCAAATGAAACACACATGATTATTGCTAAACATGTACTGAGATACTTGAAGGCCACAACTGATCAAAAATTGACATTCAGGAAATCAGTGGACAAATTGACCTTATCTGGTTTTTGTGACTCAGATTGGGGAAACTCTGGAGACAGAAAAAGCATAACAGGCCACTGTTTCACACTTTCAAATGAAGGTCCACTTATCTCTTGGAAGTCAAAGAAACAGCAAAGTGTCGCACTATCTTCTTGTGAAGCCGAATACATGGCAATGTCTTCTGCTACGCAAGAAGGAAAGTTCCTTATTGCTTTGATTAATGACATGATAAATCTAGATCTAAGTAATATCACACTGAATTGTGATAATCAAGGAGCTATCGCTCTGTCAAAAAATCCTGTTCAGCACCAGAGGTCTAAACACATAGACATACGCTACCACTTTATCCGAGATGAAATCTCAAAAGGTCTAAATGAAAGTGCAGTATGTGTACCCTCTGAAGACAATCTGGCAGATGTTTTCACAAAGCCTGTACCTCGGGTTAAGGTGCAGAAATTCAAAGCCCTGCTCATGGGCGACTAAATATTGACATCCAATGAGGATCAGAGACCCATGACACAATGAATTAAAATATGGAGTGAAATGTCTTAATTTTAAGATAAATAACTAAGACTATGATTGATATATATCTATAATATATCTAGATCTAGGTGTACCATTATTGCTATCTCATTGTGTGTTGTCATTATATATATAGTCTATGTGATTGTTATAAAACATTGCTATGATTGTTGGATATATGATTGTTAGCTCTAGATCTAGATCTAGTTTCTAGATCTAGATATGAACCTATGCCATATTATGCCATATATATAGGCTTAGACTATCTATGCTATGACTATGACATGATGAATGAGTCTAGACTCTAGAGAGATCTATGTCTAGAGTCAGATATGATTATACATGTTGTCATTGATATCTTCTAGACAAAGTCTAGATTATCATCTATCATTGTTCTATTTATCATTGTTCTATCTATTATATCTATCACTGTCATATCACTCACTGTATATCATTACGACTGCTGCCTTGTAAACTTCAATGATGTTGATCAGAATCAGCATGCAACAAGCAGAGTTATAACTGTAACCATTAACTTGAATTGTAGACTTTGCCTTGTAGTATTAGCAGTCAGATTATGCTAGTTTTTGTTATAATCCTTAATTTATACGGTCCAATAGTCAAATGACTTTTGAGTTTGTTAAATCGGACCTAACAAGTTCCAAGAATCGTACAGTTATCAATGTGCATGTTAGTATATTTGTATTACTACATTATGAATTTGTTTAATCCTAACAACTCAGGATTTAAGTGGGGGTGTTAGACTATTAGATTGCTTTTATCAGTATACAGAAGGGAAACAATAAATCCTGGATTGTTGGTCCCTATATTAACATGTTGAATTATGTCCCTGTAATTGTACTTTTATTTATCTACCCTCACAACAAAGATTGTCTGATCTTAGTGATCTTTACTCACTCCTCCTTCCTGTTTCAATCACATGTACTCATGCTCATTATGATTTATTTTAGTCTTGTCAGTGAAGCCAGAGAGGGCAGACCTCATATTATTTTCATCATTAAATTACCCTTCTTCATTTAGAAACGGAGTTCTTATTTTTGCTTTATTATATATACAATAATGGCAAACAACCCCAGTACACAATAAGTCCATCAATCATATAGAGATATATCTAGATCTATTATATTTTAAATTGAGAATGTATAGTTTACCAATCAAATGCTAAAAATAAAAAGCTGAACAATAGCTAAGAAGTTAGAGAACAAGTTGGGACAATACCATGTTACATCATGGATGGATGAAATACTTTGAAAAACAACGCATGATGATTAAATGGCCCATGTGGGCCAATAAGCCCCCATCTTTTTTGCCCACGTGGGCCAATAAGAGCAGCCTATAAAAAAGATAACAAGAAACAAAAAACAAAAAAACAAAAAACGCACTACTCTGACTCTGAGCAACACTAGACACTAGGCCTAGCAAATGCCTCGATAGACGAGACAACAAGTGAACAGAGACACACTTTCACTTTCACTTCCGTCGCAAAAAAATGACGGACCACGTCGAAATCAAGACAAGAAGTCAAGAAGACAAAGCTGGAGCAGCTGTCTACCCAAACATTTTACCAACAACAAAAAACGATTACATTACCTGTATACTGGAAGTATTTAACTGCGGTATGCTGTAACTCTCTTAAAACAACGTTTGTCTGTATGCCAATGTTCGAAAGACGTCAACGACAATCTGACATTACACCATCAAGTGATCAGCTGCGACGACTGTCAACAATAACTCGTGCTGGTATCGAGCGTATTAAAATATATCGAATATTGAAAAGTACAAAGTATCGACTACTCACTATTCTTTTCAAAAGCGGTTTGTGGGTCTATCTATTGGAGAAAGAGAAAAAGGATGCAGACATGACTCGACATGAGAGAAACAGATTGAAAGAAAAAATACCTGGATTGTCAGGTCTGAGGCTGAGGCATACAACTGAGAAAGCATAAAAAGGCAAAGGTCATTAATAATGTATCAAATAATTTTAGTACAGGATCAAAATGGGAACTTGAAAAGGTGGGAGCAGCTGGTTACGAAGTCACATGTGCTTGAAAGGTCTATTACTTACATTGAAGAAGTGCCAAACTTCAATTTACTGATATATTTAAGTCAGATTTCTTAAACTCAAAAGAACTATGTTCAGCGAGGAAGGGCCTTTAAAAGATTGTGCATATTATGATGCATATCGATCATTGGTGTGTAAAAGCCTATACGCAAGGAGCTACTGTAAACTCCTTGCCTATACGATTTGTACACGACACGATATCGTCTATTCGACTACGATAGGGCCTGGGGTATAAAATAAGGACAATGCGTCGAAACAACGAAAGTAACACGCAGTTTCCTTTAAATAGATCTAATAATTATAGGCTAAATGTTTTTGCTTCGATTTCCAGAACTTTTTGGTATCGAAGTGATTATTCGGACTCGAGTCCGAATATGAAAAAATGTTATTCGGACTCTGATTCTTGTCCAGCATGACATCACTTCCGACTTCCTGTGACTCGTGACTCCGGCTTCCTGTCATGCCTCACTCGTGACTCGCCTCAGGCTGGGTAGAGACCGGGATCACTTCGGGCAAAATGGCGTTTTGTGCAGGAGCCGAGTTTTAATCTTATGATGAATTTGAGGCCGGCCTGAAAAGTTATAGCGCTTCTAATAAATGTTTATTTGTCAAGAGGTCATCAGAAGCAATTAAAGATGGCTCGTTAGCATGTGTCGGGGTCGGATGGGCGGCCTGCACACGTGTGGCTGTGTGCGTGTCGGGGAGGGGGTGGGGGGCACTATCGGTCCGGGCGTTGAACGTCGCATACGCGTCAGTCTTTTTCCCCCCGGCAACTGATCATTATTACAATAATAAGCTAGTCTTGACGTAGATCTGTGTAATGAATTGTGCGCTGGTCTATGGAATCAAAAGTTGCCGTATGCTCAGCTCTACACAGCAACACAACTTTTTCTGGATAAACAGCTCATAATATGCAGGTGCCAGGTGGTCTGCTAATCTTCAATTTCACCTTTTTCTACAACAAAGAAAGTGGGGAACATGGGGGGTGGAGG